GGGGAAGCGCCCGCACACGGTGCTGGCCGCACGGCGAGAGACGGGAGCCTCACGTCCGGGGTGGGAGAAGATGAGCAAGTAAACGCACAAGTAGGTGTCTGGAGACTTTAACACCGGCAGTGCAGGGAGGCCGGGGCCGGTGCGGCCCTCCCCACCCCAGGCCCTGAGGCTGAGCTCCTGCCCGGGTTTGCTCTGTGCTGAGAACACGGTCAGGGGCACACCATTCAATGACAGGAAGCGTCACAAAAAGAAAGCAAATCGCCTGAAATCTCACCACCCCGAGGAACGGGCATTCTGGCACGCTGCTGGCAGAGCTGTGAGCTGGTGCAGTCACTTTAGAGAGCGACTTAGCAAGCTGGTGAAGTTAAACCTGACCCAGCCAGTGTGTGTCCCGAGACAAAACCAAAAGGGTGGCCAAGAGCATCCTGCCACTTCGGGACAGCAAATAGCCAGCTGCAGCGTGCTGCCCGTCAGCAGGGGAAACCGCGGGTAACCCGCGGCTGCGCCCATGGGGCAGGGCGGGGCCCTGCGGGGACACGGCGGCCTCCCTTCAGCGGGGGCAGGTCTCCGGATACCGAGAGGACGGCCGCAGGTGGTCACTGCAGTCACCTGCGTAAGGTCTCCAAACTCTGTGTACATGTAGTTCGTTAACTGAAAAGCACGGCGCTCTCTGAACAATGTACAAGGGAAAAGAACCTGAAGTCGACACGAGAGGGACATGCCGAGTTCTCCACAGGGGAGAGGAAGGCAGGATCCTAACTGCTCCTCTGAAACGTACAAGACAAATCTCACTTCCACTTCCGGAAGGGCTGAATGACCCCTACAGGCCTCGACCTTTCCATGGATGACTTCTGTGAACTTCGGACAAAATGCAAAACAAAAATCAGCAAAACAGTCAACAAAGTCCTTGGAGCGTTGCCAGGTGAGTTCTGGAGGGAACGCCGCACTGTCCTGGGCTCAGAGTCCACCGGACCCCGAAGCGCTGTCCGGCTTCGCTGTGGGCTCTGAGCCGAGCCCGGCCAGGGTGCCGCTTCAGTGGGGCGGCTGCAGGTCACTACCAAGCCGGTCTCGTCTCTGGGCGTGAGAACGGGGCAGGCTGGGACAGCGGCCAGCAGCTGGAAGTGGCGGTCAGGCGAGTTTGCGTAAAGTTTGCTGACTCCTGAGCCCAAGTGTGCAATGCAGAGTCCGCGGACGATGGGAGAGCCGAACTGAGTTTTGGGCTACCGTCAACCGTTCCCCCTTGCAGTCAAATGCCTGCTACAGCAAACAAAACCAGCCCTCTCAGAGGACTTTAAGAGAACTCACGGTTGTTACCGATGCCCACACGTCCAGTTAGAAGTGTGTGTTAGAGCGAGAACCAGGGTGAGTCGACCTTCTCTAACACAACCCACAGAAACTCACCTGACCGGAGAGATGCCAGCAATGCAGCCGAAGGCGTCACAGTGGCTATTACATGTGTCCTCACACAGAACAGGAAAGCCAGCTTACCGTAAGTGAAAACCTCAGTAAAACATTTTTAAAAACTGAAAAAAAGGGGAAAATTTAAAAGACCAAAATACATACCTATAACAGAAAAAAAAGAAACGAGCTCTTCTGGTTTTGTTTCCTAAAAGGACGGAGGTGGCAGGCGGCTCAGCGACCTCGAAGCTAGACGGACAGGAGTCCCCGTCCGAAGGGCGGGCGCAGGGACACAGACTGGCCCTCGGGGCTGCGGGCCCAAGCAAAGCCGCTTACACGGCAGCCGGAGCTCCGGAGGGGAGGGGGAGCCAGAGCAGGGCCCACGGCTGAGGGCTCACGCGCGGATGCCTCAACGCGGCGGAAGCCCCAAAGTCTCGTTGCCACATCTCAGCACCCCCCGGAGGAAATACAGACTTCACATAGACATGCGACTCTGAAACTTCTGAAAACCAGGCAAACGGGAAACCGTGACAGTTCCAGAGAAAAATGAGACACTGACCACAGATGAGAGCAGGAGAAATGAGCTGGCGGGGAGCAGAGGCTGAGGGCGAAAGACAGGGACAGTGTCGGGCAGAACCCCGGGCGCCACATGCCCTCCCCAGAAGCGGACGTGAAATAAACCTGTTCAGGTAAAAGAAAACGAAACACAGCAGGTCGATATTCCCAAGGAATCTCTTCAAGGTGACAGCGTGGGATGATGGGCTGGAACAGAACTGGGAACAGTGAGGATCTCTGGGTCACACAGAGCATTACTTTGCTCTCTCAATTTTAAAGAGCAAAGCAGCCTTCACGGCAAGATTTATACTCTCTTACAGGGTTTGCCCAAGGGAAACACACATCACAGCCACAACGCTAAACACTACAAAAGACGAACAAGGCTCCAGGCTTCCGCATCAAGGGCGCAGCGTGACCCTAAGAAAGTGGACAGGCACGGAATCCGTCACGAGCTCCAGAACAGCTCCCAGAAGGCAAGGCAGAGTCCTGCAGCTCTAAGAAGTGAAGAACGCGAGGGAGACGCTGTGGGCGGCCAGCACAGGGAGCAGGCAGACGGTGGGAGCAGCCCGGAGTCTCGGGGGCAGCTCGCCAGCGGGCCGGCGCTGCTGAGTGCTCGCAAGGGCAAGGCCTGACTTCACAGTGCTCGTGCTCCAGCGTGAAAACAGCTGAACGATTTCGGGACGCAAGAACACGCAGCGTGCCCACATAAACCCAGAGCCCCGCACCACCCCCGCCGTGGGCAGCAGCCGGCGTGAGCAGACGCGGTGGCGGCCTGTTCGGGAGACACGACTGGCAGAGCTGTGAGTGCGGCCGAAGGACAGCTTCATTGTCTTAAAAATATTTTATTTGTTAATTTTTGCATAGAACCAGGGTGTAGCCAGAGGTGGGTGTGGGGTGGTGGTGCTGAGAGGACTCCCCAGAGACAGCGGGGAGCACGACAGGCGGATCCCCGGAGACACACTGCTGAGGCGCAGCGGGGAGACAGGGGGGGTCTGCTGCGCCCTGGGGCCCCTCGCAGACGGGGTCGGACTCAGTGGACAGCTTCGTTCACAGTGCTGCACTTTAACCCTTTGCCACCAGGGCGGGCCCCAAATATATATATATTAAAATATATTTTAATATAAAGTTTAAAAGATACGAAGCTTCAGTACGTAAAATACACTTAGGCTTCATATAATGTGAGCAAAAATACGTAACTGAAAATCTGGACAGTAAAAGGAAGCCTATTTGTGTCCGTGTGCCAAAGAAATCATAATGGACAAGAAAATAATCGGAACCGTCTGCGAGCCCAACGAAATGCACTGACCGCGGGAACAGGCCGAGGCCCTGCCCAGGCCGAGGTTCGGTCCCTCAGAGGCCCGGAGGCCTGGCGCTGCCCGCCCAGGGCAACCAGCG